ATATTTTTTAGTATTACACAAAAGTGAAATTAGAATTTAGTTACGTTGAGTGAAAGAATGAATTTTCACTACAATATTTGCGGTAGATTACCGGTGTTATGCAATAGAGCTGCCAAAATCTCAGCATTGTGATTATCGTCAAAACTACAAAGTATTGAGGACAACAAACTGGTTTTGTGGAGAAGAAGTAAAACATACCACTGACTTTATCGGCATTTGCTATTAGAAATTCCAGCCAAATTAAACCGCGAAAAAACAAGACAATTCAAAAGAAAAGATTTTTCTGTGCTTAAAAAGAAACAATCGCTACACAGCTCGTTCAGCAATTTTCATTTCAGCTAAAAAATGGCCTCTTGTTTTCCACGATGGCGACCAACAACAAGAACATTCTAACAAAGTTTCAAAGCTGTTGACTTCAACATGTCAACATGATAAACTCACCTTGTCTGTGAATCATTCCCCCATGCATGATCCGCGCCACAATACACCTTCCCTCTTCATTTAGCTTAAGAGTGATGCCCTGTGAAGGGATTATGCCCACAATTAATCTCGGTCTTGTACCGCCGCTTTTGCGCCCTACGAGAATTCGCGAGAGATAGGCAAGCAGAGCGTGCACACATGAACTTACCATAGGTTCGTTGGGATTCTTGTGAAACTGGACGAGTCGAACACGTGTTAGTTTTTCCGGTCGATCTCCTACAGAATCGTCCATCCTACTGCTGTACGGAGTTGTGTTATCGGGCTGATACGGATTGACTTCTTCACCTGAGGTAGTATTTCTCAGCACCTCATCGTGCGACTGCAGCATTGCCTGGTGGGAAAACATTTCTGGTTAAACATCTGAATGCGATTAACAATCATTATATAATAAGTTGAATTATTCTCGCGTTTTGATTGGTTCTTACTTATGATCTATTGGAGGACAGATGTACAGATGACGTCATTAACATCTGTTTGGTTGCGTTATTACATAAAACAAGTGGATTCCATGTTGCCGTGCCTCTCAGATTTGGTTTAGTAATTGATCACAGATGACGTCAAAATGCATCTGTCTGTGATCTATCACTGAACAGACGCACGGCAGCATGTTATGTATTTGTTAACTAGTTAGACTTGGATCACTTTCAGCGCGATATCGCGTGTCTTCTATATAGGCTTGTAGTCTCACATTACTGCGCATATAACGACTTTGATTGACACTGGAAAGTTTTAACCGATGGAAATTCGATTTTCTCTACTTGGACATTATCCCTCTTAACTGGTGGGGTTTAGGGAACAGGTGCCACGTGACTTATTTCGACCAATAACGCGACGAAAACGTGACTCATTTTTTACTCTATTTGGAGAAATTCAGATACAAAACAAGACTGCATTCAGATGGGATCGCGTCATTTGCACAGCGCTGTTCAACAAAATCAACCTCATTATTGCAGGGGTTCTAATCAACATCGAGCTAACAACGTGCAGATTTTAACAGAGTATCACTTTGCATAAAATCGATTCCATATCCAGTACAGCTGATACTGAGCTCTTAATAAAAGAAGAAGTCGTAGTTGACACTCTGTGAAAATTCAGCCTAAGTCGCTCATACCGCTCCGTCGTAATCCGACTCAATTTTCCAACAGCCTAAAACATCCTTGTTTGATTTTAGTTCTTAATTACCTCTTGTTTTCTGTCTCAGTGAACTACTCTTTTGCTTTTGAGATTCCGCTACAATACAAGGTAATGCTGTACATCACCTCAAACAAGAACTTAATATGTCAAATCAAAGAACATTTACGTACAGCAGGGGAAAAGAGTCAACGACATAAGATCTATGAAGTCAAATGTAAGTTGAGATAACACTGCAAATGTTGTTGTGGGATCAACTATGTGATAACCTCTCAAAGTGACGTGTAATATGAAGATGTCACAGTTATTTCACTACTTACCATGACATGAGGGTCCGACAAGATATTTTGTAACTCGTAACAATCGTCGTCGTCCTCTGCCCGAAACTCGATCAATTCAACAACCTACGGGAAGATATCATTTGATATCAGCACGACGGGTAAAATAACACAGATAACAATCAGCATCGTTCAATAAGCAAAACTACAGAGCAGTTATCTCACGGTAATGGAGGCTGGAAAGCAGATGGCAGCAAATGCTGCACCTCCAATAAAGCTTTCGCAGGAAAAGAATTTAAACCGGAAAGCAGTCAAATAATTTAATGCGTGTACTTTAGTAAAGTCCTATTCTAAACATTCGAGATTTGCCGGATAAAGAACCGCACCCAGCTGATTAGCATTCATCTGATTTCGAAACATAAAAGGCACGTTTCCTGCCTAAGAAGAATAAATATTAGTCTGCTTTAAGCTTCAATTTTAAGTTAATCAAATTAAAATGTAGAGGGCAAAAGATAACGGAAAACATTGTGATTACTTATCGGTTTAACTGGGCCAGGTTGCTTGAGAGCTGATTAACACTAATTCAAGATTAAAAGTTGATCAAGGTTCATTTTCTCTTATAAATCTCATAAGTCGCAAAGGTTTTCCATTGCTATTGCTTTATAAATTGGCGATTGATGTCAGCTGCGGTCAAAACTGGAGGAAAGAAAATATGAACCGAAAACTTGACTACGAAGTAATAAAACTAAAATCAAAATTTCAACTAATCATCGATTTATTACCTTTACCCTGCTTACACTACAACCTGCAACAGGTTGGCACTAATCCTACTGAAAACAACAAAATTCTTCAAGGGATATTCTGATATTTAATTCTCCGCCTCTTCAAACATGACCTATTCTTTTTAATGTAAATTCAAGCTAGAAGGAGATCACAAGAACTCAAGAATTAACTGTAACAAGAGTTCTATTAATTTGTTTCAGGGTACCATAAATGACGTGTTAACTGGAGGTAGCTGACAACAGTTTGAGCGAACCAATGTGAATAAAAATTTGGATTCACGTCATCGTTGGCAAAAAAGAAAAGGAAAAACGTACTCGCCAAAAAAAAATCGACCATGGGTAGGTACAGTCTTAAAGTGGTCTTAAAATGTTAGCCTTTCCCCAGCCTCGAAGTTCTTATATAAGCAAGGTTATTATAGAAAAAAAAGCGTACTTATATTTTCAACTCATCGTGCGATTTAGTTTCGTTCCCGCATCTCTTGTGGGTGAAGCCGAAGGTGAGATCTGGCCGAATCCGATTTGTACCACGTGATCACTTGTCAGGAATGAGACAGGCCAGGCGAGAGCGCATGCCCAAAATTTCAAGTCAATTTATCTGAAAGTTTCGTGATCGATGAAAAAAAAAAAAACATCGTCTTTCACAAGATACCAACATTGCTAATCGCTTTCCAACAAAAGGTTCTGACGTCTTTCAGTTGGCTTCTTTTAACTGCTCAGCCAATCAAAGAACCAGCTGTCGCTCGTGCAATTGATCGATGACGATTTCTCCGCCTCTCGATCAAACTTACCTTCTGATTGGCCAATGAGGAAAGCCAACATTAAGACGGTAAAGCGAAGCTGATGAGATGTCACAAATTTCGCCGATCTGGCACGGACATAGACAGCCATAATTATAATTATGGGAAAATGCTTCGAGTTCCCTTATAAAAAAAAAAAAAATTAAAATATTTTTTCTACAGGACAAATTTTTCAAAGTTTGCAGATTTGAACTACAATTTCACCAGCCAAATCGCCAATCATTTGAAGACTTGGTCACGTTTTCAAAAAAAAAAATACTTGAAAGATTCAAACACTGACGCCGAAATAATATTCAACTGTTGAAAACTGCTTCGTAAAATGATCAGTAGCCAGTTCTTTTCATTATATTTCTCACTTCTCAAAAGTGACCAGGGTCACTTTTCTCTTCACAAAGTCCATACATTGTTTACCAAACAGGTGACGAGAATTAAAAATAAATCATCAACTGTAGAATAATGTGTTGACGAACTACCAAATTCTCAAGACTTGAAAGCAAAGAATCTATGGCCACTGGTATGGAGAGTTCGCATTTTGAGATTGGGAAAGAAAGGAGTGTTGTAGACAGGTTGCTGGAATGGGTCCTTACATTTTTTTTTTTTTTAATCAATTTTTTCTTTGTTCAAAAGGTTTTCGCTAAGCAGTTTCAGCATCTACGCATGATACAGAATCAACAGTTACAACGAGCAATCTTTAACAGCAATAAAAGTGGTCTTCTTTGTCACCACAAACAACACACGAGTTGTAACGAATAGTTGACAACAATAGAAAGCACTAGAAAGCGGTAATGGAAGCCGTCGGTAGTTTTATGAATAATGAATATTGAAGCTTTGACAGGCAAGTTTCTCGCTATTAACCTGTTAACAGTGGCTAAGGCAAATGCAAGGAGATTCAAAACAAACCATGAAAAACCCAACGGATAGTTTCGGTAAAGTCTCTGTTCAGAAGGTCTATAATCTCCGCCGATTTTCTTAAGAGAATTGTCACCTCGAACTTTCGTGATATGAGAAATTTAACGCCTGTTGTTTTCGGATTGATATAATTGTCATTTTGGGTACCAAAAAAGGTCAGCTTAACCTAAACTTTTCGGCAAGTGGACAAAAAAGCTCCTTGAGTAGAACTGCGAAGACTCAAGTTCCCCTCGAATGACCGAACAGGACAATTTTAGAGCGCAGCCCAAAATTAACCTTCAGCACATAAACGCACTTGCTTAAAATTCTGAATGAAAACCACACAGAATGTGATCACATTTCACAGTCTCACCTCTTTTGCGTCTTGCACGGCTCTCGGAGAGGACGCTGACGGACAAGTCCTATTTTCATCAGTCCACTCTTGACTTCTATCATAGACCTGCAACATGGCGAAACAACGGCTTTGAGACAAACGCGCACGGAAGCATTATACAGCCATCTTATAAAAGATATTTGACAGATAGGATCAATTATTAACCAAACCGAGATAGCATTTGAATATCAAAACCCACAATACCCACTAACCTACTAACTAGCAAACGAAACTTTGTAACGATTCCGTCGAAATAACTTTTCGTTACAATATCATTTGAAAAACTCGAGAGGGGAACGTAAGCCGCGAGCTCGTCGGCGAACAATTGCGAGAGAATGTGACTCGGATTCCATCTGTAAAACTACTGGTTTTGGCAAATTTGAAATTAGTTATTTAAAAATTTATGTGTCGAAGCAGTTATGTTTTTTTCTTCCTTTACCACAACTTTGGCATGTTTAACAATAGCCATATAAGCTTGCTATGAAAGCAGTATTGTTTTCATCAAAAATGCAGCTTTTGAAAACAACTCGCCTAATATTTTATTGCTAAATAAAAGGAAAACGTCCAATTAAAACGATTCAGATTTAAGCATTAAAACGCAATGGCTAAAATGTCCGAGAAAAAACTGCCTTGCGGGACTAGCTCATTTTTTTTCTTTTTTAAAAGGCACACACAAAATGCGCATTGGGTTTTGCTAATGCTACAGTACCATTAACAGCTGAGCTATCCCGCTTACATAATTCAAAAGTTCCAACTTTTGAAAGTTTCATTCATTCTTTCGCCAAAAAGCTGCAAAGATCACGAAAGATTTGATGCGATCAAGCTTTAACTTAAATGACATATGCAAAGAAAGCGCGTTCTTTTCTAAGCATTGATGTTTCGCTCACACGGAAGAAAAATCTCAATATCTCTTTGTGGCGAAGAAGTAAACTGAACCTATTGCTTCTAATAATTTGTTGTTTCGGTAAGGATCATAAACGCAGAACAACTTAAAAATAACTCAATCAAATTCGCCCACTCTTCATTAGACACTCACTAATTATATCAACGAAGGTGAATTCAGAGATAATGATAATGTGACAATCAAACCTCGCTGAGAGGACACCCACTTAACATTGACACCATGTTAGTGACCGTTAGTCGTATTCCGAGGTTAAAAGTTAACGGAAACCAAGGTTTTTGTTAACGTCGTTTAAAATCGTTTTCAACTGACAATTTTATAGTTTCATTTTTACTATGTCGAAATTTTAAAAGTTGGGCATAAAATAAGTGCAACGATTATTCGACGTGGGCGCAAATCTTAGAGTAACACACTCTTTATAATGCATGAACAATAAGTTATAGAAAACCACAGAAATAATCAGATTATCACACGTGCGATAAGATTTGTAATACAGTCGAACCCCTATTAGGCGGCCAGTAATCAAAGTTCCGATGAGGGTTTTTCTATTTTTTTTTTTTTTTACCTCTATTAAACGGCCAGTCCCCTTTGAGCGGCCACTATCCATTTCCCGAAGGTGGCCGTTTAATAGAGGTTGAACTTATCGTATAATTGTTCCTCTTGATCTTCGAGGGTTAGTTTTAATTTTTCTCTACTGACTTGCATTTCATTCGCCTTCTCCTAAATGTCTCGGTTGTAACCCATTCACATACAATAACGCTCGAGGTCTGTGGTCTGTGTCGAGGTCTGTGGTGTTTTAAGAGGATTAGACACGGATTTATAATAAGACTGGATTTATAATGGACTTATCGCATATTTGGGAAAGACGTTGAATCGATAAGCTTGCATAATCCTTCTAATCTGAGGTAGGCGTGGGTTTAAATGGTCGTGTGTGGGTCTATTTGAGCCAAAAAAATGTAAAATTTTCTTACCTCTAATAAGGCTTGCAGAGTTTGATGTTCGAAAAAGTTTTGTAAAAAGTTTACATCTTCGTCGTTCGCTCCAGTGAGAACTTGGATCTCTTCTAGTGAGTCGAGAAGTTGGCCAATAGCCCCTGGAGATCAGAGTAAAGAGTTGGAGAGAGAGAGTCAAACTATACGTCAGTACAGCTCTAGGTCATAAATTTTAGTCGATTATAGATTCCAGGGTCAGTTAGCTATTAAGCCTATTTATCTTTGTTTTTAAACAGAGTTAAACATGCTCATGTTTAAAAACATCAGCATGTTTATTTTCCAGTTCGTACTGAGATTTCATGACATGTTGCATAGAGAATTTAATAATTACTGTTTTCCAACTTAATTATCGGTTTGTAATTTGGTTTACCCTTGCTCTTTGACACATTTTGCCGAGACATTTTGCGGGGACATTTCCCAGAGACATTTTTCGGGGACTTTTTGCGGGAACATAAATTAGGGACTTGTTGCAGCAAGATTATTTTTTTTGCGTGCCATTTATTGCCAATTTTTGTCGCGGAGACAAACTTTTCTTTCCCAGCAACATGCTGCATGGAATTCATCTGCTTTGAATTCGTGTGTCATGAAGAACAGACAAAATGGCCTCAATTTTCAATCTTGCATTATGTGCACTGCTCTTGTAAAATGTCCCCGCTACAACTCAATTTTTTTCACGCCTGAATCCGCTTCGTTTGCACCAGCATGTGTACTGTCCCTGTGCAACATGCGTCCAGTAAACTGAATTTTGTATAGAGAGACAAGAAATCACTACCTGAAGCCGACAAGTCGTCATCTTCATACTCAAAAACATCGTCCTGTTTAAAAGTCAAAGAAGTATATAGAATCAACGTTGGGTAACCCGTGTGATCTAAACACATCAAAATAATGCTATCTACTGTCTAAACAATGCCCCAAAAAACTGACTTCTTGTAACAATTATCATTTGCTCTCTTTAACTCGCCCTCTCCTAAAACTTGTCCATTTTACCTTACTTTTATTCTTATTTCACTGTAACTGTAATAACACTGTATTTCTTATTTTTACTTCTTATTTCACTGTAATTGTAATTTGTTTTGTTCGTTTGTAGGTTTATTATATCTATTATTTTTACTAATTTCTCGGCACCTTTCTGGTTCCTAACCCGCACCGCAAGTTAACTAATTTTGCAAATATGTGGGCCAACTAGAAAACTGAAAGGTTTACTTGACCCCGATACATTAACTTAAATATTAATCAACTGAAAACAGGTATACTGTAAATATAAAAAGCTGTAATTTTATCTACAAATGTAAATTGTAAGAAAAAAGTATGTTGCTGTTGCTGTGATCTACATGTAATTTCTCCTCGCAGTGTTAAAAGAAATATTACCTGAGACCCAATAACATCGCCATTTGCCACTGTAAGACAAATTAAAACATGGACATAATTAAAACAAGTGTATACATGTATAATTTTTTCAAAATGTAAAAGTTGAAAATTGGGATACAGGAGTGGCAGTTTTTTTTCCAAACTGAGTTTCAGTAATAGGAAAACACAGAATTTAATTAACAGAAATTAAAATTATCTTACTTGGGAATTTTCTACTGGCTACAGCAGCCAAGATAGCTCCCTGCAGAGTGAAATAAACACTTTTAGATTTTGGTTATGGATGAGACACAAGTTTGACATAGCAGTGGAGATATCGGTGTCATTGTATATCAGCGCAGCAGTAGATCCTTGCACCTTCTTTATACACTTGGGTTTAAAAACTGAGACAATTTGAAAATAATGCCTTGCCAAAGAAAGTATGAAAATGACTGCAGCCAAGGCTCAAACCCAACCTGTTTGATGGGTTGTTCAGCACACAAACCATAAAACAACTATGCCTCCCACACAGAGAAAAACATTGAACTATTAGTGTACATGTACATCACCTTCAACTTTCTTCTCGCATTGAACTTTTTCATTTCATCTACTGAGTCTTGAAGATGCATTCTCTGAGGCACATTGCGATTCTAAAGACAACAAAATACACAGTAAGGACAGTGAACAACAAGAACAAATATAAACATTTTAAATCTACTTTTAAATCCACTTTTACCTCTGAAGATTAAACAGTGGTAAGCCACTAATTTATAATGGCCACAAAAATGCCCACCACGTTCATCAAAAAGCACTTTTCTTTCGTCTAATTTTAAGGATAATTGTTTGATGGGAAGACTAATCTGTGGTAGGACTGTTATTGTTTAATAGTGAAACACAACATTAATTACTCTCACATCATTAGAGGAACATAAATTTTCATAGTCTTAAAATATGCAGTGCTCAAAGTTTCGTACACTTAGCCATGGATGCTGAAGTGCTTCTCGTGCCGTCAGTCTGTCATTCTGATCATGTGTCAACATCTTCTTCACTAAATCTTTTGCTTCATCAGAAATGTTGTCCCAAATCTTCGCTCTCATCTGAAAAACAAATTAATACATGTACAAGCACAGGCAACATTTTTCTATCAACTTGACAAACACATGAAAAAATTCAGGCACTAATAATAAACAATAACTTTTCGAGCAAAATTATTTCATACAAATTTTGAACCTAACAAATGTTTCAACCTAGCCCTTCAATTGAATAAACACATTTGTATATCTTATTACATATTTTATTGCATGTAGCATCAGTGTATATATCCGTCTTGCAGCATTTTGGTGACCTGGTAGGGTGAGTCAAAATAAACCGAAGAGGGAAAATGTGCAGCAATACTACTGTACACACATATGTCTCATACATATATTTACAAAATAATTTGTTGAGCACTGTATCCAATATTTTTCATTCTTTTTTTTATTTATTCTTGATTTATTTCTAAAGTTAACATACTGTGGGGATGCCTTTCTTGATAGACTCATATACTTTTTCCCCTGTGCCATGGAAGGGAAAGGATCCACTCAGGAGAATAAAGAGTATTACACCTAAGAAAGACAATGCAATAGTCAGGTTACATGTACATGAATTCAAAGATTGCAACTACAGTGGAAACTAACATCACAGATACCTTTATTATGAAGTCTGTAGAGTAACAAACTATTAATAATAATAATCTTACACCCAGCCAAAGTTACTAAGTTAAACAATAAAATGTTTGAAATAGAACCCTGGTATTAAGATGTCTTCTCCTCACAGTCAAGGACAAAGATGGCTGCTTTCATAACCTTATACTAGCTTGTGCACAAGTTAAATCAGCAAAACAAAGTTACATTGTTGTACCAAGAGAAGTACTGTAAAAAGGGACAAGTAAAACTTAAAAGATTTAATTTGTACCAGAACAATCTTAATCTCTAAAAGCTAATCTGGGCTACATGCACCCAACAGAGCACTCCATGTGACAAGAAAAGACAAATTTCAATTTCATTACACATACAGTAGAACTTCTTACATTGTGGGAAAGGCATTTTTTGAACATCGTAAAGAAACATGGTAGCTTACCACATCCCCAAACATCCACAGGCTTTCCATACTGTTCCCTGTTTATGACCTCTGGTGACATGAAATGTGGTGTTCCTATGCGACCTACAAAATCAGTGTAAAATCACAAATCAGTGCATTATTCTTCCAATCTAAAACAATTCAAAATCAGTCTATGACATAGCCTTCTCAATCTCAGACTGCTAAATACAAAGCTTTATCCCTAGGCAGGCCGCTTACCTTCTACACTACCCAAAACCTACTCATTTTACATTTACATGTAGGTGTTAAGAGATATTAATATATAAAATCTTCTTCCAATCATATGCCCGCTGTTGTAGGGAATTGTTCTACATCATTACAGAATTACATTATTTTGGCAAACAAATTATGTGTTTTGCACTTCATAGAATAATGTTTATATTTATCTAATACAATAAAACTTCAATGAAAGTAACACAGAGTGGGATGCATTGATCAACAAATTATGGTCCCTTTGGTCTTACCACTTGTGACATAACCTTCTTCCCCAATTTCTGTAGCGACACCAAAGTCAGCAATCTTGATTGGAGCTGAATTCTCCTTACTTGATAATAGAATGTTATGAGGCTGTAATGAATCAAAAGCATAATTATAATAAACATGCCACACCGTACATCATGTATTTTCAATTACTGATAAATATAACATGGAAATAGAAAAACAGTCAACCCCCCTACCCCTTCCCCCTCAAATCCATGTGCAGCCACCACTTGCAATCACACACCCCTCTTCAATATTCCAAACAAATACATTTATTACACCTTAAATGTTGCTTTATTAAATGCTACAGAAACAATAAAGTTTGACAACCAGCCATTTTCCTAGCAACCTTTCATAAGCAGCCAATTCTGTCTAAAAGATAGGATAATTGCTCCCCGACATTGCTTGTACATGGTAATTTCACATGAGTCCTGTGTTCTGGCCTCTTATACATGACCACATACAGTGTAGCACGGGTATTGTGGGTGGTCATTTGTAGGAGATTAAAGCAAACAAAGATCGTCACTGAAACACTTTTCATAAAAGATATAGATGGAAAATATTTGCTATGGACAGTACTTGTCCCAAAAAGCAAACAGTTTTCGAAGAGCAAAGCTCTACAAAACTGTGAGCTTTGAGGACCAAAAAATTAGACAATTTCCAAGAACAAATATCCAGGTACATTTTTGGTCTAAACATATTTCTAAGACAAGGCTTTTCTGTTTGATAGATCTTGAACAGGTTACACAAGATCAAAGAACTCTTGTACAGCCTGTTCAAGATCTACCAAACAGAAAAGCCTTGTCTTAGAAATATGTAATCAACAACTAAGGCAGGATATTTATCAGAGTAAGTTTCTTAAGATTTGTTAGTGAACGTACATGTAAATGCAAATAACGTTCCCAGATGGACTATCTTTTTAACTATTTTAATGTAAGAAATTGTGATATTCTCTGTTATAAAACTAGGAATAGTAATGACCTTATTTTAGAAAAAGTTAACTTGGAATGCACCAAGCGTGCCTTTTTCTACAAAGGTGCAGCTATTTTTAATAATTCCTTTTAATGTAACATAATTTTAATGAAACTTTTTACTAGTTTTACTTATTTTTTATTTATTCATTTATTTATGAGTAATAACGAAGAGGCAAGATTTGCTGTTACTTAATGGGATCTGCTACTTCCTCATATGGTTATTCATTTATTTATTTATTTATTTATTTATTTATCTTTTAACACAGGACTTGCATTGATAGCAGTTTTTTCTTTAAAAATGATGCAGCAATCCTGTATAGATATGTTTTAATTATTATTTATTATTATAGTTTTCATAAGTTTTTTTTACCTTGAGGTCACGATGAATAATATCATTTTCATGACAGAAAGACACTGCTTCCAGAACTTGTCTGAGGTAGTGACTAAAAACAATAAGATCAACATTACAAGATGAACATTCTCCACATTTTAGGATGCCTGGCAGGCTGGCTGTGTTGGGTTGTTCATTGAGTGGTTTGGTTCAAGCCTTGTTGTGGTCGCTGTGTGTTGTTCTTGGGCAAGACACTCACTTGTTAGTAATTACATGTACTGGGGAATGCATGGCAACCTAATGATTCGCACGCTTGACTCCAGATCAAGCGGTCTGGATGTGAACCCTGGCCGGGGTCATAGTGTTGTGTTCTTGAGTTGGACACTTCACTCTCACAGTCCCCCTCTCCACCCAGGTGTACAAGTAGGCAAATTGTTAAGGCAACCTGACAGATTGCCTTGAGGTAACCAGTGATGGACTAGCATTTCATCCAGGAGGGAGTACGGTAACAATACTCGGGAGTAGCCTCTTCATGCTACAGAGATCAGAGGTTAGCACCAAGAGCTATGAGCCAGATGACCTTAAGAAGCTTCACTTACCATTACTACTTTCACAGTATCCACCAAGTATACACTATCCATGAGTATAGTTTGGTGGCTGTGAATTGTTGGGACATTTCTACTTGAGGGAGAGTGATACAGTTTTAAAATAATTTTCCTGAAGTCTGACATCCATTTGTTGCTAGTACATTACAGAGTAGAACATTAGACAATCCCTTGAGTGATCATTTTCTTTTATTCTCGTCAACTGTCTTTTTGATAATGCAAGAATACAGTAAAGAGAAATAAGCCAGTGCTCAAGCTTGGAAACTAAAGGATAAATCAGTAGAGTTCTCACCTTGCTACAGCTTCACTGTAAACAAAACCTGCATGAACACGGTTCACTATTTCAAAACACAAGTCTGCACCATCCATGCTGTAAAATAAAAGAGAATTGGAATAAATCAAAATGAAATAAAAATTCCTTGTTGGTGAAACTCATTATAAATTAGTTCATCAAGTTTAAAAGAAGGAAATCATTAGCTACACTGTAGCATAGATTTTTACAACTTTATGTCTAGATTTTCTCTTTCAAGTTTGAGTTGAGAGGATATATATGAAACAGTCAAGACAGTATTTGACCACATTTACAAACACCTCGAAGTTCGTCAAAAATACTCTGCTACACGTTGTGCTTTTAACTCTCTTCTTGCTATTTGAAAATGTGGTGAAACACAGTTTTGAATTGTAGTCCCAAGACATTGCTTTCTATTGGTCAACACCAGGAACACAGTACCAATTTGAAAGTCTACGCATGGAAACCGACCAGTGTCTGCATTCTCAGTGCCAGAATAAAAAGCGACTCAATTTGACATCTACTCTCTTTTTTTGTTCATTGTTGAACCAAGATAAACCTGAGGTCCACAGTGGACAGGAAAAAAATACAAGGTCAACAAAAAATTAAAGGTCAGAAAGAATGGCCAGCTGCAAGCAGTTAGATGAAAATGCATTCCAAGTGATCCAGATAAAAAAAAATATATGGATTTTTTTTAACCATTCAGATTGAGCGATCAACAATTTTGTCTAGGTAGTAGTTGCCTAAATTGACGTGCAGTTTCCTCCTCATGGATTGTTTCTTTGTTTGGCAAGCATAAGCTTGGGAACACCACATTTTGGAACTTAAAGGTTACTATAAGTTTCTGGATTATTTATATATTGCACTGTGTATACGTACATGTAATTTCTGAAAGTATGTTTTTGGATTTAATCTCCAATAGTATGTTTTGTGAATACTTACTACTCAAACACCATGTAAATATGGCCATCCATCGAGTAAGCCCCTATAATTTCCACTACAAAAGAAAAAAATACCAATACAAAACAGGTACACAAAGTCATGTAAATAGTTAATTTTATAATATCTTCCAATCAGATTAAAATTACCCTGCAAATATCAAAGAAAGTTCCTTAGTCAAGAATAACATTTTTATTACTTCTTAGCACAGGAAAACATCAAAGAGAGACATAAAATTATTGATGATAAATTATTAACAACAAACAAATAAACTGTAGTGGGAATGGAGTCTGTTTCTAACTTCTCAACTTCCTTTCATGATAATGTTGTTAGGTAGTGCGCTAAAACGTCAAGGCGTTCTTTTTAATTTTTGTATTCTTAGTAAAATGCCTTTCTAAATAAACGATTGTTCTATTATTTCAGTGGTGTAGTTTGAGGATTTATATCTGTCTAGTAGTCATGCGATCAGTTTGCATAAGACACAATTACACTAATGTCAACATCTGAGGAACAAGAAAAGGCTGACAAATATTTTTGCATTCGTAGTAAAATGCCTTTCTAAATAAGATTATGATCATTCTATTTTTTCAGCGGTATATTTTGAGAATTCATCACTGATAATCAGCCAATCAGTTTATATAAGACAGAATTACACCAGCTATAACAATATCAGTTAATTTCTAATGTTTTAATATCAACAGCACAACTCAAATGACAACATGTGACACAGAAGAAAAGTCTGACACATGAATTACACGGGACAGGATTTCAAGATTCACAAAGTATGATAATAAGGTCAATCACCTCAAAAGTCCAACTCAAAAGGAATGATATTAAAGTCATCTGGAACAAACTCACTAGAAAATACTTGTTTCTGAATGCATAATATAGTTGTTTGAGCAGGTAATAAAGACTCAATTCAATTCTTTATTTACACTATCTATATAGGGCATTTACATACATAATTTCATTAAGGTAAAGTAATGATTCTATGGTAAGTAAATTTATGTGTGAGCGGTGACCAAAGTAGCAAGAGCTTTCTGTTTCATATTTAGAAAGTAATCTTGCAATAATTATCATTACACTGTCCAAGTATTAGCCGACAGACCATTCAAAAATCAAAATGATTATTCTAGTCAATTTCCTTCTAGGTAAGTAACTCTTCACTCCCATTTCTCAGTCTGAATCAGTAGTCGTTGGTGTTCAGTACATGTAACTCTGTGTTTGAATTTATAAGCCAGCATGATACAGGTATAATGGTCAAAGTAAGATAAAATTATAGAACGATTTTATCCTTTTATGTTTTTCACCCTAAACATTTGCTAAGGCTTCAGCCCAGTACAATGAAGAAATTTGCTGTAAATTCTGCCAACATATCCTTTTGTTCTATGGCAACTTCAATGCAAATAAGATCATCTTTATTATCAAAATATTGCACTAAATCATTACATACATTGATTAAAGATCCAAGATCAGCTGTCGTGCTGTAAAGGAGCATTCTTTTCGTTTACTCACTAGATCTAAGATTTTTAATTATACATACAACATGTTTTTAGATGTCTTTTCTGTGTTTGATTAAAGGAAGGTTACATTAGACATTAAAATCGAACTTGCATTTCAAAACAGGAAATAATCATTTGATTTATTTCAGTGATTAAAAGAGATTTTTTTGTGGTCTAAAAAATAATGTTTAACTATCTCCCTTCCTAAAGGCATGTAATTTAGCTCTGATATTTTAATTGACAATCTCAGGGATTTCTGAAAGAATATATACTGTACATTGTATCAAACAGAATATGCTGATTCCTTCGTCAAGGCCGAACAGTGATCTCCAAGTACAAATGATTGATAATGGATATATCTTATCACACACACAAAAAAAACGTGGACACGATAATCCCTGATAAAATAGTGAATGTTTCTTACCAATATGTGGATGGCGCAATTTCTGACAAATGCGGGCCTCCCTTTGTAAATCTGCGAAAATAATAAAACACATAAAGCACAGACATTTGACTGCCTCATCGATCAATCAATCTTGTTATTTCACTTAAAATTTGCATGGTTATGGATACCGCTTCGATAGAAAATGTTAGTCAAGCCTATAAACACGCAAAAACATACCGACGCGAAACAACCGGAAAATGGTCACAAAAAAATACAAATCTTGTTCTTTCAATTGATAACCCCGTCAGTGAGGATATATTAACCACAGAAAACATATCTTGCTTCACTAACTGTGCAAGTCCAATATCTATGACACAAAGAATAAATGATGGTCAAATGTCGCGAGCACAACGTTAAGAGGAGTTCGCTTGCATTTAACGTTGTGTTTGAGCGTTTTCCTTGGGGACATTGTGTCATAGGTTTCTTTCGAGTGTTTATATTGAAAAACAAAACTTATGAGAGCACTTTTCCTCCTGTAATTTCATAGCAATTTGGCCTTTAACAGCGCCGCTTGACAGCAAAAAATAATCGACATCGAATGTTAAAGTACGCCGTATTTGCGACTTTGAGCACATGCAATATCTCCAAATGCTTTTCATTACATTAGATTTAAAACATTAGCTTAGGGATAATAACTAAAATCCCCTTGCACAGGAATATTATGTATACAATCGGCAAGATAACGGTATCCTACCTTCCTCTGTAAGGCCACTGGAAGATGACATCTTCGCAAGGTCCACAATTTTCACCGCACACACTCGCTCGTTCCTCTTGTCGAAGCATCGTCGAATGACACTGAAGGTTCCTCTGCAAACACATTAATAATTTCGCTTTGGAGTCTGCACATTTCGACTGTAATACAAACTAAGAAACATCAACAAGGTAATACAAGGAGATAAGAAGTCATAAAACTAAGATAAAAGCCAACCACGCGAACTAAAATGATTCGCAGATTCGAGAAAAAGTTCGCGCGACCCGTCAGAAAATCAACAAGTACACTAACTTTCCGATTTGCTCTTGCAGATCGAACCGAGCTGGAAAACCGTTCTCCATAGCATATGTTGGAGCGATCCTTTCCAAGGAAGAGTTTCTGACCGCTGGATTTCAGGATTTCCGATGTGGTACCCCAACGAGCATGGCTAAAAAAGTTAAATAAAATCGGTGGGCGAAAGGAAAATGCCTTGCCCAGATCAGATGAAATGACCACTGTAACAGCTGGAAGCTTGGCTACCTAGTTGCTGTGTAACCACTCCACATTACCGCGGGGCACAGGTATAGGTATCGAAACTATTTGGGCCGGGAGATTGCAGCGTGCGTTCCTCAATGAATGAATCAATCAATCAATCGATCGATCGATGTATCGATCGATAGATCAATCAATCAATCATTAGTCCGTGAGCGTCAAAGTTGTAAAACCGAGCAACGTCTTCCACATGCCTTGGAAAACACCCTTTGAGAGAGCGTGTGCTAAGAATGTTCAGTTCTTCTAAATTCTATCATAGCCACAAAACTAGCAACGGACTTGTTGACCTAATGATGGCTTGAGCGCGCGGAGAAAATTTACATTTTGAGGAGCAAACTAAACAGGTGATTTTCCTTTCTTTCCCTAATGTTTTCTGAAAAAAGTAAAAAAAAATAATGTTACAATAACTGCAGAAATTCTAGCGCGGTCAATGGCTAATTAGCAATTATTCCACGAGCGCGCATTGAATATGAGATGGTAGATAGTCAATGACACACGTGGGTGGAATAATTGTTTTATCAAAAAACGCCCCCCAAATACAGCAAACTAAGCTAAAATAAAAATTAAAATGCTCCACGAAACCAGACGTACGCTTACCACATTTGCAGAGCATGGCTCATAACCCCTGATGGCTAAGCGAATAAAAACTCTCGAATTGCATTATCCAAAGATACAGTTTTTTTTATTATTATTATCAATAAGCGGACAGGCAAATGAATTTATAATTTATGTGATGTGTCAAGTAGCGAGGCGACATTTGACAATTTATTATTGTAAAAACAAATTGACGTCATTTTTCATGCGTCTGTCGTGTTATCGACAATGAATTATTTCGTCATAACATTGTCAAAGTAGTCTGTGGATCCAGGAGACGATCGCCTCCTGGATCCACAGCTACTTTGACAATGCTATGACAAAATTCATGATCATTAACAGGATAGACGCATGAAAAACTGTCGTCAATTTGTTAATGTTTCTTTAGCTCTTCCTCAGCTGACCCTTTCTGTAGAGTTATAGAATTCGTAACACTTGTGAAACACTGGAAAAAAGGTGGAAACACTTAAAAACACAAAAAAAATGTGTTCTAGTTCTTAAAAATGGCTATCCACGAGGGAGAAACGGAAAAAGAGCATGATGTAGGAACAGCGTTGCCTTCTTGTGTTATATTCCTTTGCGTTACGGGGGTTTGCGTGATTTGTGAGAAACGTGCACCTGTTATCTTGGAGACTGGGTCGAGACTAATCGCCATGAATGATCAAGGACAGGAATTGTGGGTAATCTCGATTTGCAAAATGGCGCCGTCCTTCGAAGACGGAACACTTGTGCCGATAATTACGTTTTGACAACAATGTGAATGGGTTACGGCAGCGTTTTGCTGCCAAAGAGTTTTAACAGTTATGACCGTTGAACACCCCTCATCCGCCAAAAAGGTGAGTTTTGCAGACAGTAAATCGCTCGCTGTTTACGTAAAGCTAATTTGTATTATATTCGAAGTTTTAATTTTTTGAACGTTATGCAGATTTTCATTCAGTGTTTTACTATGTCGTTCAATATGACATGTGGTACTTGAGTTATCACGCTTACGGAGGAAACGACTGTGATCAAATCTTCTCTAAGAGATTTAACTATCGGATACATAGTTAAGCGTAAATTTGTTTTTGAAATAACAGTAAACTACCATGCTCTTCGTAAAAACGTGAAACTACGGTAATCCATTTGTACTTTATTTTATTTTACGCAGCTGTACGTTGTACCAAATAAAATTCTCTTTTGATAGAAATTATTCTTAGAAGTGAATATATGAAAGATCGTATATTTGAACTGCGGAGAAAGATGTGAAGACATGATTGATCATTGCAGTTATTTTCACAACTTGAGCAGTGGTGAAATTAAACCCTAAATTTTTTTCAGGCCATTTTTAGACGCTAGGGTCAGCCTCAAATGCATTCTCAGAAAAAAGTGCGAGAACTAGCTTAGTCCTTTTACTTAATGTTCATGGGTGTTATAAGAAACACAGCTGACATAATTCTGTTGAAGTCTTTCAAAGTGTATTTTTCTGTTATTTTTTACTTGATTTTGATACCTTAGAACATAAATATTTCCTAACGGTTGTGTAATATATATTGGAGTAAGGTACAATGCAGACATCTAGTTTATATGGAGTGGGTTTTTTTTTTTGTCACCTCAGGTTATAGTCAATGACGAGAAGGTGTCTCAACTCAAAGAGGCTACTGGTGCAACTTACGAACAAGCCAACCAAGCCTACATTGTGCGTGAATAGTTGTTAGATTTCCTGTATAATCAAGGATTTTTCTCTGGAAGGGGACACACTGATTTAATAACTACAGTCAAACCCCTTGTAAGTGACCACCCAAAATGTCAAGCCTAGGTAGTTGCTTACGGGAGGTGGTTGCTTACAAGAGGTTCCAAATATAGTAATTTGACTTGGAAACTTTTCAAATTTTGGAAAACTGGTCACTGGGGAGAGGTGGTCACTTACTAGAGGTGGTTGTAACTGGAGGTTCAACTGTGGAGTGTTAGGCTGAATTGAGCCAAGTGGGTTCGTGTCCTGCTTGTGTTCTGCTCTGCTATGGGTTCGTGTCCTGCTCTGGGTTCATGTCCTGCTCTGAATTGAGCCAAGTGGGTTCATGTCCTGCTTGTAGCTAGGGCCACTGTATTGATGCTTTTTAAAGCATTTTAATTAAAATTACTGTAAACTACTAGTACCTATAAATAGAAGGAAACAAAATACAAGTACAGTTGAACCCCGCTTTTTTAAACTCTCTGGGGAAATGAAATATAGTAAGAAATGGCAGAACTTCGAAATAGCTGACAGTAAATGAATGAAGGGCAAATCAAACAGAAATGGTATTGAGTTCGAAGTAACAATTAGCAAGGCTGAATTAGTGTAGTCCAGCTGTAGCTGAAATTGAAAATTAGCCAAGATCAAAAGATTTATTACTGCACATAGGCATAATCTGCCTTTAGTTTTGTAAAACCTACAGTAGTAGATAGCTCATGGATGCTGATGTAACTGTAATACTGGGCTAACAATGTATACTCTAATTTTGTTTGTCAGTAACTTTTAAATGCTGTTGTTTTCAATGTATACAGGCTAGTAATCACGACATAGGACGTGCCGTATCCATTTTAACTGACCAACAGGATCATAGTGCTTCATATAAGGTGTGTATCTATAAATATGTACCCTTTTAATTAATTAATAATAATAATATGTACAGTATATTAATTTTACTCATCCAAAAAACCGGTACTAGGTATAGTGGCTCAATCAGCAGAAGGCAAAAATCATCATCTGCTTCTGCAGACAATCTTGTCGAGTTACTCTGCCTAGGTATTCACTTGACTCTTCAGAAAAGCTGACCAAATCAGCTGCCCACTCCAACAATTGAGCTGTCTACTTCGAAACTTTGCTACAATGCTGTTAATTCTGGGATAACCTATCAAAATGTCAACTGGTCATGACCTGCAATGAACTGATATCCCATTCAGTGTGGGTTGTATTTAATAAGTTCACAACAGTTCATAGAGCGTATACAGAAAATGCCTTTTTAACATTTTAAAGTCTCCCAATAATAAGTATTAAAATAATTATTAAGACTCGTATTTTAAAAAAAAATCATTTTGCGCTCATTTGGTGCACAGGATACATATACAACTGTAAATTTTGATTAAATATTAAAATATTGATATACAGACTTTGAATTTGTTTGAAATATATGTACACATATTTCAAACAAATGGTGTGTTTCTGAAGAAAATTGTTGTGCAGTTCCAGAATTTATCCATGCCCAGGGTTGTAGCCAAGAAAATAGTCTCCTGGCTAAGATTTTCAATGAGCTGGTCACCATTTTTCCCAAGAGACCAGGAACAAATTTTTCGTCCCCAATCTTTTGCAACACCTTGAATACAGGGATACCAAGCTTCATGTTTACAAGATGGTGGACACAGTACATGGAAAGATAACATGCTAAACAAGTGCTCAAAACAAGATTTTATTTCAATTACTTTACTTGTCACAGTACCACGGATACTCAAGGTAGTCAGGAATTTATTCCAAACTTTTCATTTAGACAGTGTGATATGGATCAGATATCAAGTGATTGTACGTGCATAACCTAAAGACAGTTCATTGCCCTTTACCGAATGATCACATGACAAAATCCAGCTGGCAATCATGTCTTTCTCAGCTGGCAAATTCCGCTGACGGCAGGCACTTAGCGACAACCCTGCATGTTGCTGGAAAGTCACTGGAAATTCTGAAGTATAGGAGGTGACAGGTCTCAAAAGCCCAAATTTCCAGAGAAAAGTATAAAGCTATTCTGGAATTTCCAGTGGGTTGAGTGGGGGGAAGGGGAAGGGGGTTATGCTAAAATCTACAGTGGGAGGGGTATGGATATTTTCTTTAATTAAAAAAAAAAATCTTTAATGAAAATTCCAAATTACATGACATTGAACAATTCAATCCAATGAATTTGAGGACAGCTTAAAACAGAAAACAAGATTCCTTAATATAAGCCACCTTAGTGTATAATTGTATGATTGTATACCTTGTTAAACATCCTATATTTAAAGACAGACTGTACTGTGCATGTAATTCTTAACATCTGTGTCTTTTGTCTTTCACAGGGTGTTGCAAACCAAACAGGTATGTTTTTTGTATAGCTTCAACGAAAACTTACAGGGCTTCACACAAGTCCCACAAACATCTGCAGTTTGTCAGTTCAGATTTCTATAGTAAACTAAAGAATACTCGTCTGAACAGCACAAAAAAGAAATTTATTTAATGTTATATTTCATTTTTCCTTTTGTACAGGAACACAAACCTTTATTGGACCACAAAAACCAGAAAGTAAGAATTTAATGTTTATATTCTCAGCTGTAGTTAGGCTAGCCTACATGTAGCTTAACCTTACCTTGTGTAGATCAAGCACAATGGCCTAATGGTTAGTGCATTGAGCAGTCTCTGTTCGAATTCTGGCCAGGGTCAATACATTGTGTTCTTGGGCAAGATGCTTAACCTCTCTCAGTGTTTCTTTCCACTCAGGTGTATGCATGGGTGACAGGGAATTTAATGCTGCCTGGTGTAACCCTGCAGTGGACTAGAATCCAATCAAGCGGGAAGTAAAAATACTCCTAGTCACTTTATATATGCTACAGAAGCTAGGAGATCCGGCTATATGGGCCACTGTCCTGACTAAGACCTAAATACGGCAAAAACCCAGTAAGAACCTGTTAGGCTAAAACTTCCTAGTGAAGCACCCATCACATAAGAACCACTGTAGGCTAAAATCTCAATACAGGTTCTTATTTTAAAATAGTTTTTTTTTCAAATATAATAAAGTACATTGCATGTGATACAAAAAATGTAGCAAAAACTAGCCAGAACACTGGCAGGCTTTTAAGACCTCAATACTGTACTGTGAATGATTCAACATAAAGGCCACACCAATGCGTGCGAGTTTTTGTTTTTGTTTTTGTTTTTAACCAAAATAATGAACCTGATTAAGAACCTAGGTAGCCTAATTTTATAGTAAACACCATTTATATAAGAACCTATGGAGGCTAACTTGAAAAAACCTAGGTTCTTATATGCAGGTTTTTACTGTAGATGCCAATGTTGTCTAACTGTTCATTTTTAAGTCCATTTATAGAAAGACAATACAATCTTAGTAATCTATGTATTTATTAAATTTTGATTTAACCTGTTCTTTGTGTTTCATTTTCAAACTTGTAGCAGATGTAATTGACCTGACAAAGGAAAATGAAGACCTAGACTTGGCCATTGCACTCAGTTTGAGAGAGGCACAGGTGCACAGTTTTCACGCTTCAGTTCAGTTTTAATATTAATCATATACATGTATAATAGCAAAATTCTTGATCCTAATAATTTGGTTATCTCTGCATGCCTATATGTTGTTATGTAAATTGCTGCACAATCTCATGGGCATCAAACTGCACGCATCCAATTTCAATCACTTTTTTAGTTGGATACCTGTAAGTATAATCAATTAAATATTTTCACTTGCACACAATTGGTCTAAACGCATCACAGGACTGACTATTCCCCAGCCAAAACTGAGGAATATCTGAGTTTCAAAACAAGTGTGTTGCAAAAAATATTTGAAGGATAGTAAACAGAATAGCCTGCATTTGGTGCGAAAATATGTTCGGATATTTGTCCTTGGACAGTATCTGTTCCCCAAAGCTGACAGTTTTCCTCCAGCCACACTCTCAGAACAGATAGTGTCCGCAGACAAATACCCTAAATTTACGTTACTAAGGGTTTTGTTCTGGCACATCTCTGTGAAACGTTTGTTCAATTCAGAAGGGCTTATTGACAGTTGTAGTATTATTAATGTTAAAAGGAATTCATTTGGTTTTCAAAAACAATGATATTAGAGATTAATAAATTGTGAGCAGAACCTACTCAGGAGAGGTGAACAATCAAGTATCCAAGAGCCAAGAAATGCACAATAAATTTTTAAGGGTTAATGCTGTAGTTTCCAGCAACTTTTATTTTATTCTTCAGTCGTTTTATTTTGGCTGCACGTTCTAGTTTATAGCACTAATAAAGTTTTTAAAGCTACATGTAAATTCAGCAAAACTGAAGATTTTAACAATATTTGATTACATTACAGGGAATTACTGTAGAAGAACAGGATATTAGCAGGTATTAATTTAATGTACTAAACCATTCAGTTTCCTGGTAAGTCTCTTCAGCACTTGAAAAAAATTGAAGAATTCCAGCTTGCCTTCGGACAAGCAGCTCTCAAATTTTGCTTGCCCTGGGCGAGGCTTAGTTGACTCCTCTTTACTTAGTCAGCAGACAACTTGCATGGGCCCTTCCCCATTGGCAAGTGGAAATGAAACTTACTTGCCTGCCAGGAAAATCTGCTTGTCCCGTCAGACAACCAGACAACACTTTTTTCATGCCCTGCTCGTGAATCTCTAGTTTGGCTTTTCCATGATGTGATACAGCTTTGCACAGCGTGACCTATCATCTCTAGGGGGCAATTAAATGATCAAAAATTTCATACCACCCTGGAATTTCATCCTATTTAGGTACAACATGCCTAATGTTTTTTTTGTTTTGTTTTGTTTTTTTTCGTTTGTCTGTTTCAGGGTTTTAGAGGCAAGTTTAGCTGAGAACAAATCTGGACTGAAAAGAAAGAGAGGCGATCCTTGGGTGAGATTTGTCGATCCTGTGAACCCTTATGAACGGCAACGGCAAGATGGGTGTCCTGTGGGCTTGAAGAATGTTGGAAACACTTGTTGGTTTAGTGCTGTGATACAGGTAAGGTGTATATTCTATGTGACTCATTCCTGAATTTCAGATATGCAGCTACCATGAAGGCCGTGTATAGCAAGCGAACAAACTTGGCAGCTCTATGGTCCCTTAGTTATGGATTCTGCTGCTCCCCTTTCCTGATGGCCAAGTGTATTTTTTGGGGAAAATACTGTAGTTGAGAATATTTGGAATAGAGGTGCTATATGAAATTAAATTATTGTTTTGATGATTAATTGTGCTAGTAAGTGTTTTTTTGTTGGCGGGGGGGNAATATAATCTTCACTTGAGTAAGATGATGTTTTAGGTGATTAATCAAATCACATAACTCTTGACTAAGACACTGGCATAGGTGGTTAGGTTGAGCAGCTGTCAAATTATCTCATCTTGAGTGTGTGAAGACACATTTTACATTTTCCTCAGTGAAGTATTATTTATCTATCAGGTGGTACTTGTCAAATACTAGATATCCTGCATCAAATAGTTAAGATAATTATGTCATTTCATATGATGTTGTGTTGTCTGTTACTATCAACAGTCTTTGTTTCATCTTCCTGTTTTTCGACGTCTGGTTCTGTACTATACTCCACCATTAGATCCTCAAGAGAAACAAGAGGTGAGCACTTACATTCCACACCCTGATATCATCAAAGAAAGAAATAAAGTGCTTGGAGAGAATTAAATGATTTACATTACTTTACGTTATGTTACGTTACAAACTGCCACTTGTATAGTCACACTTGACAAGTTCATTTATGGGATTTCTACTGGAAAATTAAGCGTGAGTTCTCAAGACAGCATATATAACAGAAGTGCCATTAACATGAAATTTGTTTTCTCATGGATTTGTTTTGTAGGATGGTTATCGTGTTTCCTTCATGACTGAACTACGAATCCTATTTGCATTAATGCTTGGTAGTAAAAGAAAATATGTGGACCCAACCAAGGCTGTGCAGGTTTGGTAGAAAACACGTACTGCATACTTTGTAAATTAAAGTTAAAATAAAAAAATTTCAGTTTCTTCACGGGGTCAACCATAATTATTGTCACTTGAAAAAGACAATTGAAGTACTTATTAACTGATTTGTTTTCAGATCTTAAAGGAAGCTCTGAAATATAATGGCAGTGAAAGCAATCCTGGTAATCAGCAGGTGTGTGTAAATAATTTACAATTTAAATTATTTTTTACTCTGGTTTGTGCACTTGAACAAGGTGGAGGGCATGTTAGATTTATGCTCCAGAAGATAAACTGTGCAATCATATTAAACATCTTCCTGTTGTCTTCCTGGGCAAGATGCTTAGCTCTCATAGTCACAAAGCCTTTCTCTACCTTTGAGGCTGTATTTAAATGGAAATCTCTAGAAACGAGAAGCTAAGGACAAAGTGAAGACAAAGACAAAGAGTGATTAAGCACACAGGAAGTAATAGCCTACCAATTTGCAGAGTACAACTGCAGTGTAGCCAAGATGAAATGCTCTCTTGCTTCGAAGACTGCAGTCAACGCAGAAGTCTCAACATTTCTGTAAATTTTTCGGTAGACTGACAGAGAATGTTTAATTACATTTTTGATTAGGGGAGTGTTAAGGTTGAATAACAGTTAAATAAAAAGCTTTTAAAAACTGCCAAAACAGAATCTAAATTAGATCTGTAATTCTTATTTGACTGTGATGCAGTTGCTAGATAGAACAGCTGGAGCATATGAATTTTTGTTGAATTTCCCATAATTTGTAATAATATGCTGACTTGTTAGACAGGGACTTCATTAAGGTCCAGGCACTGAGCAAAGTGACCTGCTGTGGGAATGACGCTGCCCACCTGATTTGACAATCTAGGGAAAGTTTTTGTGATAAAGAAGTTCAGTTCAAAAAGTGTTGTCTGCCTGTGAAAACCAGTTCCCTCGTACTGAAAACATTAATGAAACCCCTGTTTAGAATTGTGGCAACTGTTGGATCTGAAAGGCTTACTGTAACTAATTGTAGAGTTCCATTCAGGTGGAAGTAACAGTGTGCCTGGTTGCTTCATACTTGTGTTACTCAATCTTTAATAGGTTGCAACTTGCAGGACTTTTCTTCTGCAATGTTACTGAAATGCTTGTTTGTTTTCATAGGATGTTAGTGAGTTTACTCACAAGCTGCTGGAGTGGCTGGAAGACTCATTTAAAGTAAACCACAACAACAGTGCAAAGAACATGCCAAAAAGAAGGTGAGTAAGACAAGCAACATCAGCAACAGCGGTAATAAAGTAGCATGCTATGCTGACTATTAACTGTGAGAGGAAAGTTTCCTCTCACAGTTCCTTTCTCTGGCCACGTTTATAACTGGGTACCGGTCAATTTAATGCAGGGGGTGACCGCGTGATGGACTAGCATCCCATCTTACAAGTGACTAATAGTGACTAATAACTTATTAGTCACTATTAGTCACTCCTAAGAAGGGACGCTAGTTTATCGCGGCAAGATGGCTGGAATTATTGACTATTTTCCTTTCTTCCAAAAACAACAAAAACAAAATTTGAAATTGCTGCAGTAGTAATTAATGAGATGGTTGCAAGGCAGAGTTCTCTTATACTTAGTACCACATGGTTCCACTTTGTGCATATAATATGCGGGCAATGGTTAGTTAAACCAATTTTATCTAACAATCAAGGTGATACAGACACTAACATCTGCTAGCTAAGGTTGCAATACTGAAAACTAATCAAAAAAGCTGGTTTTAGTATACTAATTAAAATGAGATGTTGCCAGAATGGTAACTTAAATATGATTTTATCTTGTTGTCCAGTCTTTTGCTAAATACAACTGTTTAAATTTCATTCCATGGATAGCATAACATTTCTTTTGGGATTCCAATATTCTTTTTTTGCATTTGCAGTGGTAATGATCTCAATCCAGTTGTTGAACTGTTTTTTGGACAATCAAATGTGGAAGGTGTTTATGAAGGTAAGTTTTCCAATGCAAGGGTCTTTGTTGTAGACAGACAAAGCACTGCTTCACTGTGTCTCTAAAGGGTTACTATCACAGTGATATTTTTTTTAGTGAGAGGCGTGGTGGCCTCATGGTTAGTGCACTCGTCACCAGATTGGGCGGTCCAGGTTCAAGCCCTGGCTAGAGACACTGTGTTGTGTTCTCGGGCAAGACACTTTACTCTCACAGTGCCTCTCTCCACCCAGGTGTACAAATGGGTACCGGCGCATTTAATGCAGGGGGTAACCCTGCGATGGACTAGCATCCCATCCAGGGGGGAGTAGAAATACTTCTAGTCACTTCATGCTACAGAAACCAGGATAAGCTCCAGCCTGATTGGCATGGACTTAACCATTACTCAGTGATCTTGCAGTTTTGACAAAACAGTGCTAAAGTTATCCTACTTACAAGTAGTTTTTGTTTCTGACTGTATTATCATCTTTGTGGTATTTTAATCTGTGTCATTACAGGGAAGACGTTCAGCAAAAAGGAAACATTCGGCGCATTTCCTCTTCAAGTTCAGGGGTATGGTGACCTTCATGATAGTTTAGAGGGAGCCATGGCTCAAGTGGAGATTGAGCCTGTTGGACCTGAGGGATCTCACAAGTCTGGACAAGAGGTTGGAGACATATCATACCATATAGAGGAAGGGAATTGGGATTTAAGGGAAAAATTGTACCCTAAAATTGCTTCTTTTCCAACTCCTTCTACCCCCTGCAAAAAAAAGTAAACAAAATTTGAGATCTCCCCTAAAAAATGCCGGATTATTAAGCCATTTCCAACTTTTTAGTTTGTTTACCATCAAGCCTTCACTGGAACTTTAACAAATTATGGTCTTCTCCTTTTTTATTAATAATCTGAGCTTACAAATGTGGTATGCGACTTATACTTAAGCGTTTATGGTGCATTGTTTGTTTTATTTCAGCACTGGTTCACTGGTCTTCCAGTTGTACTGAAGTTTATGCTCTCCAGATTCCTGTTTAATCAATCAACTGGCCGAGCAGAGAAAATCCACGAGAGGTTCTTGTTTGACCGTGTTATCTTCATGGATCGGTATGGACTGAATGTGCAGATCCACTACTCTTTTAACCTTGCAAGTATATTGTAGTACTAAGTGGGCAGGTTAAAGGAGCTCACTCATGTTATTTCGAGTTATTTCCACGTACAAAATTACATTTGAATTGAAAGGAAACCTGAAAATATTCATTTGCAAAGATAGAACAACATCAAAGAGATTTTAATAAACCATAAAGGAACAAGGATGGTTTAGGATGGAGAAGATTAACACGGATGACAAACTTGAAAAATTCAGGTCAAACTTTTCAAGGTGTGCAAACCATGACGTAGCTCCTTTAAGAAGGCTTCATGTTAATTATGTCAACTGATTCCAGCATTAAGTTGAACACAGTGTCACATTTCATTCAGGTACATGGAGGGTAACAAGGAAGTTACGCGAAGATACAGGGAGGAGGTAAAGAAGCTGAAAGAGAGAAGAACCAAGCTTAAAAACAGCCTTGAAAAGTAAGTACACTTTTGGTGTTCGGTGGTCCCGAATTCAATTCCCACATGCTTTGTAAACAGTCAACTGGTCAGCCTCCCACCAGTTGGGATTTTGAATAATGGGATTTACCATGCTAAAAAACACTTGGAGCGGTTTTCACTTGAGTTTCGAACAGTAATTGGTTTAGCATCCACTACGTTACACGATTGGCTTAAAAAAACTCGCGCCACTTTTTCATCCAATCAGAAGTAAAACCAAAACCAATCGTGGCTCGCTCCACACGTTTTCCCGCGCTTTACGTCAGCTACATGTATTTGCTTCGAGTTTTGATTGGTTCACTGGATTGTCTTTGTCCTTTGTGATTGGCTAGAGTGATTACTTTGGTTTTGGTTTTACGACACTCAACTGAAAACCATGCACTGTAATAATGAAGTGTTTTATTTATTTTAATTTTTTTTTCAATATTTTATATCTAGGTTTAGTATAAATCTACGAGTGAGCGCCCTCGTCAACTATCACGCGATAGAAATCTCGAACTCATAATCAGGGCTGTGCTCTAGAGGTGCTCAGGTGCCACAGGCGACTAACTTTTGCCGTAAATTGGGCGACTGGAAAAACTTACCTTTTTCATATAAGCTTAAGTGCTGGGCACCCAGGAATTCATGGTTAGGAACCTTTGGGCTTCTTGTAATTTTCCTGAGACCACAGCCTTGTAATCTGTTTGTTAGATATACCAGGCTACAGTTTCTGAATGCCTGTGGGAGACTTGGATGATTTCCCAAACTCCACGTGCATTTTAGCCCTTCTAGTGCTTGCTCATTTATGACGTTCCTTATTAAGGTACCTTAAGTACGGACAAGGATCCAAGCGCTGTCCAATCCAAGACGTACTAGAGAGCACCATGACTTTTGTACATAGCACACCCCCCTCTAGCGACGAACTCGACTCTGATGTAGATGTAGACATGAAAACTCCAATTTCTGGCTCACCCACCTCCATGAGCACTTCGGGTATGGCGACAGATACACACACATCCACCCCCTCACCGTGCCCTTTGTCCGAGGTACGGTGGAACCCCGCCCCGCGTCACGTGACAGAAACAGAAGTGGCTGTGTTGGAGGGGTGTCTAAGACGCTGGAGACAAGAGATGGAGCAGGATGTTAAAGGTAGGGCACCGAAATGATCAAACATCTAGTTTCTCCTTACAGTTCCAGTGCATCGTGAAGCAGACACGCGATCTGAATAAAGAACATCATAAACTAGGCGACTTGGCTTGATGAATCACCAAATTCTCACATGTAGCTGTACTGTAGAAGAAATATATGATGTGAACTAAAGAGAATTTATGTCTTACACAAAAAAATTTAGTGCAAACCCCAGCATAACAAAAACCCAAAAAGGCAGGCTCTGTTTCTCGCAATTATGTAATATAATGATCCATCAATGTTTTTGTTGAACGTTTGTCAAGTTGTCGAGTTAAAGTTGAGACCCCAAGGTGAAGCTTCACTCTTCCGACTTTTTCTTCCAATTTCACGGGTGCACCCCGGCATCACTCCATGAACCTGTGCTATTGGCGCAGTCTGATTATTTAGTCAGCACGTAGAAAACATGTCAAGTCCGTTTTGTTTGTAAGAAACAGAAGACTTAGAATGGCAGAGCTGTTCGCTGGTGTGACACCGCAAGGTGTAACAAAACTAGCAATATCAGATATAAAGCTTGACTTAACGGTAGACTTCAAGACTCTATACTTCTTCTTAATGATCATCGTGCAAGAAGGGCGAACGCAGAGGAAGAAATGGTCCCTTCACCATTCTTTTTCCTGAATTTTCGAATCGAGAGGAAACGTTTTCTCGCGTAATTAAAAGCAAAAGAATAGCCCATAACGTCTAAAAACAGTTGCGACGACACGGACATAGTTCGCGGAAAATTTAACATCTGTTACAACTTGAGAGAGTGGTGGAATCACACCTTTCTCTTTTAATCTTCTTGATCTTTTTCTTCTTTGAAAGATCTCAACGCCCATCTTCGAGAAACAGAAGACGTTATATCGACTATATATGATGATGCAAGTCTTAAAAAGGTGAGTTGAACCATGATCCACCTAGCATCTCTGTAATTTGTCAAGCAAGCAAGTGATTGGAACACTTGGCAATCCTGATCAAAGGTAAGTCATGTCATGTATGAAGAAGTATTACTAGATAGCGAATACTGGACTTTCCCTGCAGTTTTCTAGGGTTGTTAAGCAACTGAGGGCCCGATAATGGGGTGACACCTTTCGGAGTACCCTTGAGTGCTCGGGCAATTCTTTGATTTGTCGGTGAAAATCGGAAATTTTACGAATACTTAACAAAGCTGTGTTATATACAGCAGTTGGTCTTCCCCCCTCGAATGCCAGCATTTGGTTCCATCAAAAGCTGGTTGGGTTGTAGCTTACGTTTCAAAATACGAGCATCGTTTGTCTTTAGAGCCGGTTAATCGAATTATCAGGAATCTGTGACTTCAAGCTCTTCTCAAATGATTACGCTAACCAAAGCAATTTCCAGGTGGAGTTAAGTGATTTTTGGGTCGGGTGTGAAACACGATAGAGATTACGCCATATTTGTATTCTCGGTATTGCACTGGAACTAGCTTGCAATGGAGGTTCATGCGGGGAAATATTATTAAAAAGAGATTAATGTCATTAGCATGTGAAACGACTTCTCGCTTTAACCTCAGTTGCAGGCTAGTTCCAGTCCAACACCGAAAATACGAATCTGATGTAAATTAAGGTAATGGTTTCAAGAAGTGTGCTACCAGCTCACACCAAACGTTTTGGGGACTGATTATCGCTCGTTTGGTATTGACGAGGTTCCACTGTAATTCTTGTTTTTGCAGTTGCCGTACCGTCTGCACGCAGTTCTTGTCCACGAGGGTCAAGCATCAGGCGGCCATTACTGGGCGTACATTCAAGATCCTAACCAACAGAGGTGGTGCAAATTCAATGACATCACTGTCAGCGAGGTCACGTGGGACGAGGTATCCCGTGAGTCACTGGGCGGCTTTCGTCACGTGAGTGCGTACTGTCTGATGTATATTGACGCTCGGCGCGAGGGCTGTATCGGCGCCGGCGGTAGCATTCAGGAGCTGCCAGCGGACTTGCAGGAGCTCGTTGATAAAGACAATGCGGAGTTTGAAAATGAGATGAGAGACTGGGACGAGAAGCAGCTGAATAAAGCGGCTGCTGCGGGTAAGAGGACAATTGAAGATCAAAATAGGAATTCTCCTAACACATTACAGTGGGATCCGGTTATGAAAAGGACAAGCCAGGTGTCTGTATTATCCAGTTAGGGTTCGTAAGGGTCACGGAAAACCTGAAAAGTCATTGAATTTTATAATTTCATTTTCCAGGCCTGCAAAGTCCTGAAATTGAAGTGTGGGTCATGGAAAGTCATGGAAAAACAATAAACGTTCTGGGAATGAACAAGCAAAAAAAAAGAATCAAAAGTGGAAAAAATAACAAACAAGTCAGAAAACCAGTTAATTCCAGTAAAAAAAAATAATAAACACTAGCACGCATTTTATGCGTCATAATGTGGGAAAATACCATAAATAAGAGATTTTTTTACTATACTTTGAGAACAACTGCTTAACATAGGTCTCGGAAAACTCGGAAAGGTCATTGAAAGGGTCATGGAAAGCCATGGAATTTCAAAAACCTAAAAGAGTGCGAACCCTGCCGGCTGTCGACATTAAGCGGGCTCCCAGAACAAACGTTACGAACACATTTTTTGTAGACATCAAGACTTGAGCATAGAATTTAAAAGCAAAGAATGATGCTAAATACCTTGACTGGAATTTGAGTTAAAAGTCAAGAACCCCCACGCTCATTCAAACAGTCTGCATTCAAAGTTGACGTTCTTGTCCGTTTCGAACTCAACAACGTAATCATTTAGATACGCTGTCTTTAATCTTAATCAGGAACTTCTGCTTTACCAAAATCGCAATTCATCGATTGATTGATTGACTGACTGACTGACTGACCGACCGACCGACCGACCGATTGATTGATTGATTGATTGATTGATTGATTGATTGATTGATTTCCACACAGAAAACCAATGTAAATCCATAGTTCCCAGACCAGACGTTGTCATCGATGCCGAATCTTGTACCCAGACTCCTGACGCATCTGAAACTGATGAGGAATCTTCTCTGAACTCACTGCTAGATGCTGCAAGGAGTCTGGGCGTGGAAGAAGCTCTGACAAAATGGTGCATTCAGCAACGGACCCGCCTGGAGAGGCTCGCCCGTGAATACTCGCATGAGTACCCTGGAGATGTGCGCCTAGAGCACTTCGCCATCTACCTCATGAAATGTAAAGCTCCCGAACATACAATCAGCTTGGGGATACTGGAACAAATTGTGGAAGATATTAGGACACAAGAAGAAACGTGAGTTGTGTAGAGGGATCGAGAAAAAGGAGAGGAGGGAAAGAGACTGGGGGAATGAGAGAAGAGATGAATGGGAATTAGAGGGAAGGAAAGAAAAGAGAGGTAGAATGGGAGGGGAGACGGAGGGAATGGGAGAAGAGATGAATGGGGAGGAGAGGGAAGGAGTGCTGGGAGTGGAATGGAAAGAAGGAATAAGAGCAGTAAAAGGGAGTGTAAAATGTTACTCTTTTTTATGGCTTTTGGAAAATGCTGCTTTTCACATTCCTTCCAATTGCTGATGGCAGAGCTATTGTTAAAACAGAAGACATTGGTTTAGAAACAGAGTGGAAAAAAATGTCCTTCATTAGTAAAAGTTGATCATGTACATAGAATTTAATATTAGTTCCAGCAGTTCATTTCTCTATTGGTTGCCGTCATTCGATTGACTACAACAACTGGCTGATTTGTTATTGATCAGATGTTGATTAATCTGATGTAGGGAAGGAATATTAAGTGTGTTTTGGACAGCAGAAATGTGTAGTACATGTACGAAAGTAAGTTTCTTAATTTTTTCCGTGTTAGTCTCCTTATGGTGAAACAGTGCGGACAGAATCGATTGAATGCCGAGAGAGAAGGAGCAAATCTTGAATTTCAGGTAGTTATGAATCATGACAAAACTTTTTACATCCTCTACTGCTAATGACTTCCAGTCATCTGTCCAACCTCGGGCCCAGGGTCTCTCTCTCTTCCCGCGTTAAGATCCTCTTTACGCGTCTTTACAAACCTCTTTACACTTTCGTAAAGAACGTCTTTACGCATTGTAAACGATAGTGCGTAAAGATTACGGAGAGAGAGACTATAAAACGCTATCTTTACACGCATCTTTACGCAACTCGTAACTTGTCCGTAAAGAAGAGGCCTTATATTTACGGTTCTTTACGCAAGAGTTAAAGATCCGTAAATTTTGGATTTCATGCTGTTATTTTGGCGCGAAAGTACCTGTTTTCAGAGGTTTAGTTTCTTATGCTATTTATACTAATGGATCTTGTGTGTCACTTCGTTTTTGTGTTTTTGTGTTTTTTTTCAGACCTGGAAAGAACAATATACTTTGTTTCAAAAAGTTAACTCTTGTTTCCTCACGGGCCTTGAGCATCTGCACAGTAACAAGTAAGTAAAAGTGATAAACAAATGGCACTAAGGTGTGATCCAAAATTTTAAGAGCTCGAGCCACATTGTACAGCGCAATAAAGAGTACCACATGAACGTACTCTACAATAGCTTTCATTTGAATGGTCACACACTGGGGTTTTATCCACAGACTTAAAAGTTACAACCACCTCGTACAACATAATAAACAGTACCACATGAAAGTACTGCTCAATAGCTTTCATTTAAATGGTCACACACTAGGGTTTCTTCCACAGACTAAATTTAGAAGCACCTTGTACAGCACGATACACTGTACCACATGAAAGTACTGCTCAGTAACACACACGTTCTTATTACGGCTTCTATTATTGTATTCTCAGTTGTCGTAAAGCATTACCATATTTGGTACACGCGTGCAACCTCAATTCCAAGCTACTCAACCCAGGCAACCCCGGCCAAGCCATGAACGTACAGCTGCTGACCCACTGGCGGCGCGTGTGTTTTCTCCGCTTGAATGAATTGGCGGTGGGGATGTTTAAAAGCAGCGATTGGAAATCTGTGTGCGGCGGACTGGAACTAGTCAGCGAACTGGTCGTGCCGTGTATTCGTAGACTCAGCGTCTCGCCCCAGGTCAGTAAAACTATCATTTTCATAGATATTGTTTCAGTCTAATTCGTGTTTTGCAGGCGTAAATTTACTTAAGTTATGCCTTACAAAGTGTCCAAAATTGTCGTCCGAAATTTGTCCGAAATGAGATAAACAGTGTCCGTGGTTTTGTCACGCAACATTTTTCCAAACGAGGACTGCGTGACAAGCCAAAGTTTTTGTCTCCTCCCATTACCCGTGCCTGACGTTTTGAGGACTATCTTAGTTACAGCAGTTCCAATGAGAATGAAATTGTCTTTTTCGTCTCCTTTAGATCGCCATCGTGCCAAGCTTGAAGAGTATCTGCCTAAGTTGCTTGACGTCACAAACGAATCTTGCCCCGAAATCAAACCGCCGCCGGTCATACGACCGACCAGCTCACGTGATCTGTGCGATCGATTCGTCCGAGCTATGGAACTGGTCAACGCAAAGCCTGCTGCTTTTACAACGTAGCGAAGCAGGGCCGACGGAAAACCGAAGCCTGTGGAAAACTTTCCGGCGTTTTCCGAAGACTGTCGGAAGCAAGATTCCCATATTAAAAAAACAACAACAGCAACAGCAAATATCAACGAAAACCTCACCGTCACAAAGATATCACCAAGAAGCTTCCGAAGCCAGCCGAACATCTCCCGACACATTATGACTCTTGAACAATGTGTTCGAGCCTTAATTACGCCTTCATTTGAAAACGTTACTGTTCAGTATGTAAGGTCTTTTTACCTACCCAATCCACGTGTACTCGTTGCATTCTTTAAAGTCGTTTTTCTCTCATCTAGCTTTTGTCAAAGGTATTACCGTCTTTCTCATGGGGAAAAGTCTACAGTGGCCTGGTGCCTTTTTACAGTGTTTTTAACGTGTGATGGTTTTTTCTGTACATACAGCGGCACTGAAGAAAGTTAAGGTATATTTAAGAATTTTCGAGCCAAACGCGTTTGTTTGAATTAAATAAACTGTCTTCGGATTTGAAAGAATCCAGATTTTTGTTGTAATCCTAAGATCGAGTTAAACTTCATTTTACGAGTTTTAGAGATCGAGGCTTCTGGGGAACAGATAAGCATTCGGCTCTCATATGGCACAGTCAGTAATAACCCCTTCACAGCCTGCGTTCGCCAGACTCTCCCAGGAAACACTCCCGATCCTTTACAGAAGCCTCGTTAGCACTCCTTTACTGTGTACCTTAGCAGTGCGAAGGCGGGATAGAAAGAGAGGAAAATGCTCTTGGGTCACGCCTGGCGCGCCGCCGTCTTTTTCTTTTTTTCACCCCTGCCTACTCCCCCTGCGGAGGAGAGAGCAGAGGTCTAAAGATTAATGCCCCAGACCTTTTTGAATGGGGAATTTAAAGGTGTTATGTGACGAAATTGTGAGTTTTTTTTTATCTAAAGGACAGAATTACTTCCAAATCGAAGATATCCTCGAATCATAGTATTTTATAGAGAAGTTGTAATAAATCGAAAATAAACAATGATTGCTACGTCGTAGCGCCTTAAGGTTACTTCCCACCTTCAGAGGGAAAAAAAATCGTTTCTTTTCTTTTATTTGACAAAATTTAAGTTCGTCATTTTATCTAGTGTTTCCAAAAGAAAAACATTAAATATCTCAAAAAGTGGCCGAGTTATTAAAGAAAAAACATTTTCAAAGGTGTCATAATCTTGTCAACGGGCGAGACCCCTGAGGAAATTTCGCGGCAAAGGTAAAAAGGTCACCATCATTAGCGCTCGATCTGTTATGTAATGCTGGCTTACATAAGACTTGCGGACGCAATTAGATACGGCCTCATGTAAATTACCGACGTTTTCCTTTGTCCATCCTCTCTGTTCACGAGAGACCGATGTCCCCTCGCAAAGGAACCAGGCGTTTCTAGATCTTTTTGCAGACAGTATTTGGTGGCAGCAGGGAAAAAAGATATACCTTTGCTTCACCTTGCATTGGCATAGAAAACGCGCGGCCACTTGCAGTTTGCGAATTCCGTTTTAAAAATACCCTTACGGAGACTAGGAAAATGGACCCATGCCAAAGGTTGCAATTACCGGAACAAATTAATCGACATCTGCATGTAATTTAAGGGCTATGTTTTAGTACGATACCTTTTTGACTTTATTCCACTCGTGTTCCTTGTCATGCCTTGTCTAGATTTCTGTCTGGTCACAGCTCGTTGCCCTAACACGTGAAAAATATTCGAGTCACACGAAATGCAACAAAACGCCAAGAAACATAAACATGCACAATGCATGCATGTTAAAACATTTTTTTTTCCTCAGGTAAAGTTTTAACACAATTCTAAGAGCCTCTTTTCTATCTCTCTTGAGTTAACACCAAATCATCTCGCCTGTAAAATAGCAGAAGATTTTTCGTTTGAAGGAATTATGCTCTCACGTCGAAGAAACGGTCGAGACACTTAGAAGAAGACCAGTTCTTCTGTGATGTGGGTATAAGGCGAGCTGTTTTGATGGAATGTGAACCTCCGACAGATGACCTTAGTGCACTTGGAAGCCGTAAAATCCGATTATATAACGTAGAAACAGGTCAGGTGCTTTAAAATGCTGTTGGTATAGGGCGCGCTAATTGAAGACGAGCGGCTAGCCACGCTCAAACTGGAGGGGACGCTTAGGGCGTAAATCGATATTTTTACGGGCTTTCCCGTTTGGGACGCAATGACAATTGCCAAACAGACGCCTTCTATGTGCTGAATACTCAACGATGAACAAACACAGCTGTCTGAAAAAAATCACACCTGTGTTGTCCTTTTCGCAATTAATTAGACAAAAGATAGCAAAGATTTATTAATAAAGCTCATTCGCTTGTCATTTTAACGTGAAAATGATTGACTTTCATGGTAAAGTCACTTTGCATGACAACTGCTGCTCAAGGGCTCTTGTGCTATGAACAATCATGCTAGTGTGGGTGCATTGAAATGGTTTCCCGACCATGCTTACTGAATCCTCGACGAGTCTCTTTCAGGGTTTACTAAACCCAACAAAGCTCTGAGCATTCTCGAAAGATTGACAGCTTAGCATTTGTTATGTAATAGCTTGTTGAACATCACGCCAACTTTACATTTCATTGCGTGATTGGAAAGTCTACCAACCGTTATAAGCGTGCAGAGTATTGCATGTGATTAATACAACTGTCACGCATAAACGCTGAATGAAGCAAGTTTTAATGAAAGGAAAATACAAAGCTGAGAAAATTAAACCGCTCTCTGAACCTTATCTTCCATGGAATCGACCTCGTTAAGACCTAAGGGTTTCCCTTTACGCGACGACAGTTCATAAAAGAAAGATACCTTTGACCAGCAAAGCCATACGTCTGGGAACACTTTTGTAGTATTGTATTCGTTCCTCGTGAGCTGACTTTGACCGGAAGCAATATTGTTTTAGCTACGTCACGATTGCTCCGTAACATCCCTCATGGAAAACAATGTGTACATCATTGTAATATTACGGTTTAAATTAAAGGTTCTAGGGTTAGGATCGCTAACTTAGTGTCACAGACATTCAGTCTTTGCAAAATAAAGACACTAGCATTGTTCTTCATTCATCAGTTTTGTTTAGCTAAACACTTGAATTTCGCCGTGACGTCTAGCGAGTAATAGAACACGCTGAAAGCGATCAAATTTCCCTGTCTGGGAAAGCAACGGAGTCGTGAACCCATGCATCAAAATCCTAGCCATTTTCTGAACCGAGTTATCGCTTTGTTAGCGCGACGCGTAAAGTAACAACAAGGAGTCAATTGGACGGAGGTATTTGAATCGCAAATCGACAGAAATTTGCATAAATTTGTCTACCCAGACAGAGGTTTTAGTCCGTCCGCTGATTGCCGAAGGCTTTTGGAAGACGAGAATGCAATTTTTTTGGAGGACGGGACCGTCACATCTCCTTAAGGAAAAAAGAATCCCGTGGATCAAGGTATCAAATCGAATGTATTGTAGAATTTTCAGTTTATCGACTCGCTGAGTGAAATTATTTCTTCAGGGACACATTTCAGACGGGGATAGCGACTGTCTCGAATTTCCTTGTTATATCGAGAAATCAGTTTGTAGAAATATGCATTTTTCTGCGCCCTGAAAAACCTTGTTACTGCCAGGCGTGTACGCCGATTCTGTTTATGCTCGCGTGATTTAGGAAGAAAGCACCGGTTGAAATGTACAACGCTACGAGGAAGTTCTGCTCTTGCACTTGCGCAAACGCGGAAAAAAATTCGTTTGCACATTGTGGAACAGGCGGCGGAGCAAGGTCTGAATTTAGTTTACAAGCGGCGAGATTACTTTGAAAAGCTGGTGATGATCAGTTTTGGCCGATATTTTGTTCTGACTGCACACAGATCACTGCTGTCGCTGGTTCTAGGGTTTGGAAGTGATTCCGTTATGGCTTTGTAACAGCTATGTCGAGTAGCCAAACCTGACTTGAGACAGAGTCGTTGAAATCGAACCCTAACTGTCTGTCTGAGATTCTCTTATCAGTTCGGAGATTTGTAGAAAAAAGCTTTGTATTCAAAGTCTGCTTCGACCAGCTGAAAGCAAGAACATGGGTATATTATCGGTAACATTATGGCAACCGTAATAAGCACATGGGAAATGAATATGTAGGCAATCACTAAACATTGTACAAAAATGTACACTTCTGTATACGACAACTACGGACGAATAATTCAGGCGTTTGGCAGTGAAGATATAAAACAATTAGCTTTGATTGAGCAAAGAAAATTCTTGGAGGTGAACGCAGAGATCGCATAGAAATGTAACTCTTAGAATTTCACTCGTTGTATTGAAGAGCAGTTCTAGATCTGCTAGTGCTTTCAAAGGCATTTCCCATTGCAGTCTCTTTCTGCTA